GTTGTCTTGCAGTTTCGGTCCAGTGTGTAAAACCGAATTGAGGCTCTTGCATTTGTTGTTTTACAGGAAGCGTCAAAAACAACACGAGTTTTTGTTGTTGAGCTGTCCTCTTTAAACACCGCGTGGTGCGGAAGATAAAACTTTCCGCCATGTGGTTCTGCCTTCGACATGTGACCGAGGTCACGATACTCGGCTATGAAGTCCGAGTAGTCCTTCTTGAGCTGTGGATCGCGCGCGAGTTTCTTCTCTACTTGAATAAAACGCGCTAGAGCCTGTCTACGCGATTCCCCTAGCACTGGTGGATCCTCGGTGAATGGAAGTCGCACCACATATCGGCCATCGATGGTCCTGGTGTAAGTTTTATCAAACTCTTTTTCGCACTCGTGTTTGACCTTGCCCGTCTCAGTGTCCTGGTCGAGATCCCACACGTCCTTCATGCCTCTGTTTAGTTCCGCCATTGTCACCATGCTGATGACCTGGATTTCCTTTGGCTTGTGTGCTCCTATGAACATCCATCCCAACTCTGTATTCTGGGCGCTAATGTTCCCAGACCTTTTGATTCCCTCCTTGAGAATCGCTGCGTACACTTGTGAGCCCAGAATTAAGTCAATTGGTCCTGGTGTCATGAAACAGGGGTCTGACATGAGAATGCTGTCCACGTGCAATTTTTTGTACGACGTCGGACATACTTCTACCTGCGGCAGAAAACCTGTGAGCGACGATAGCACTAAAGCAGTCAGATCTATCTTGAAGGGTGAAGGAAATCTTGGAGCCAGTGTGATGAACACCTTATTCCGTGCAGTTGCAGCAGATGCTCCAGCTATGCCTCTAATTGGGGCATTAATCCTTACGCGTGGTGCAGCTACTTCCTGAGCTGCTCTCTCTGATATGAATGAGTCTCCTGACCCAGTATCAATCAGCGCCCGTAGAGCTGTCCAGGAACCATCTACTTTTTTCACCTTCAGAACTGCCGTGGGAAAAAGCGGAGTCTCTGCAGCTGCGTGCAGCGCCAGAGATTCTTCAATGGGGTCCTTTTCCTCCTGGGTACTTATCAAGGCATTAGTAGGCTCCGTTGGTTTCTTCTCAAAGTGCAATGTGTTATGATGTTTCTTGTCACATTGCTTGCACATTCGAACCTTTGTGCATTCCTTGTCCTTGTCTCTCTTATGCCCGAGGCAATTCAAGCACAAATCCAGCTTCAAGGCCATTTGACGCCTCTTGTACGTCGTCAATTCCAGGTATTTTGGGCATTTGGCAAATGTGTGCTCTTCCTTGCACAAAAAACAAGCGACCTTTGGTTTGTTCAATGTGGCATGATAAGATTTTTAGTTTTCCTTCTTATCTTTGTAGAACTTTTTCTTCTCAGCTACCTTGCTGATAGAGGAAAGTACGAGGTGTCTTTTGAAGAGAAAATTGAGAAACTGCTTCATTGTTGGCACCTCGGTTGGCTCATCCAGTGACTGCTCGAACAACTGGATTGACTCATCGTCCAATTTGCGCACGCACATCCCTATTACCAAAGGATCCCAGTGCTCAGTGTGATATCCGAGGCTTCCTAGCCCTGCGATTGCTTCATTGACTCTGTCGTGAAGGTCCACGATGTCCTTGGCGCTACGATGCTCAACCCTTTTTATGTCAAGCAACAAATTAATATAATCAAAGGTCGTCTTTCTCTTGTGATCATATCTATTCTTCAGCAACTCCAGTGCTGCCCTGTAATGGTCACCAGTCGGTGAGAGGTGACTCACTAGGCGCCTTGCGTCCCCCTCCAGGTAGGACAAAAGATACGACATCTTGTCTGTATCGCCATGGTTTGGATCCTTATGAATCACATAAGAGAACATCTCATAAAAACCGCGCCACTCATTCACTTTTCCACTGAACTTGGGAACCTTTAACGGTGGCAATTTTGGCCTGGTATTCTCGCGCTTTAATTCATCCATGACCATGCGTAAAACTTGCCCTCTTCCAATCTTGAGCAAGAACGAGCGTGAATCATCCCCTCGTGGGCTAAGATCATTATCGCTTTCCTCGTCGTCGAGAAAATTTATCTTTGAGCGTGATTTCTTGCTCTTAGATCCACTCGTTTGAGGAATTTTCCAATCCGTTGGCTCCTCCTCCCCAGAATGCTTCTTTTTGGTGCCCTCACCTTTGGAATTGCCAGCCTCTTCGGCATCCGCAAAGCGTAAAACATCATCCTGGGTCTTCTTGTGTGTTTTATCAGCGACGCGAGGTGCAGGCGGCGCCTCATAATCGAATTCGTCATCCGTGTCCTGAATAACACTTTTGCACATCTCCTGATATGCTTTTGACATGCCCTCCCGGGCTTCCTTGTGGAGCGCCTTTGTGTCCTCAAAAAGAGTAGTGCGAAAATATTGGTCATCGGGCTTCAAATATTCCACCAGAATCGAGTGATTTGTGGAAAAGTTTTCCCAAAGCTTTTGGAGCTTATCCAAACATTTGCCGATATAATCCGCGGTTTTTCTACTTCCCTCCTTCTTGAAATTCTTCCATAAGCGCTCCATATCTGCTGCGCGCGCCGCAGATTCAGCTAAAATCGCCGTGGTGTCCATGGCTTACGAATAGCGTGTGAAAGAGAATCGAAAAAAAACTGAGTAAGCGCTATGGAGAGTGAAAGAGTGTGGACAAAAAATTTTGGCGCCGATTTTTCGAGCGAGTAAACAAAGTTGCCCGTGCACAGATCGATAGCGACAAAATATGTGCTAAGCCGGCTTATTTCTTGCTACAATGTTGCACGCTTAAGTGGCGCGACTGAAATTAGACGCCTTATTTCCGTCAGAGAATTTATTGAATATTCTCAAGAGAATCCTCCACTTGAACCTCCAAGTCCTTAATCTCCTTTTTATTGTCTCCAGACGAGCCTCAAGCTGTTTTATGGCTTTATTAAGCCTCCGGACCTGCACTTTTCTCCCCCCGCGCACCCTGTTGGTCTTCTTTTTACCAGGAAGTCGGAACAGATGTTTGGCTGAATGCTGCCTTGCCTTATACTCCTCGATGGTTATGGGCCTTGGTCCTGCTGATGGATTCTTTTCCAGGAATTCCTCTAACGGCACCTTCTCTTGTTTGAGATGAGTTTTGGCCTCCGGCGGCGGTGGTTTCGGTGGATTTTGTGCGGAGTAAAGCGGTGTTGGCGGAATGCGCTCTGGCGCAAACTTGCGATTTACCCGCCCCTTTTTATTCACTGCGGGAGAAAATAAACGAATTTCCCTCGTTTGACAACGCTTTGAGCAATAACAAATGGGTTCTCGCAAGTACCAAAAATAGGGGAATAAAGAAATAACAGAGCAGGAAAAACTCGGAACTTCCGTGGTCTCGAAGGACCATGAAAGCGAGAAAAATTATGTTGGTATTTCTCTTAGCGGCAGAGCTTGGCCGAGATCCAAGGAAGTTCCTTAGGATCTTTCCTGCCGTTACCTTGATGTAATTTGGGGATGAAAATGCACTCCTCACGAGCGTGCTCGCTTCAAATGAGAAGTACAGATTCTTACAGGACCAAATTCAAATGGCGCGACTGTTGTCGCTGCCGAGATGAAATGGTATGGGAGTGCTTCGATGAATAGGGAGGAAGAACAACTCACTTTTTCACCTTAAACTTAATCTACTTTACTTTACTAATTAACTCAATAAACAGTAATTAACACAACGGATAAAAAATAAGAAAATCAATGAAAAGTGACTCCTGCCTTAACTTTATGGCTCTTGCCGTTTTGCAAAACACTTCTTAGTGCTGTTGGTCTTTTGACCACGCTAATTGTCTTAAGAATGCAAATGTTGCAGTTACTGCATCACCCAGTGTTTTGGGTTTCTATGCACGGCCCAAAGGCTCCTTCTCTGCACAAATGCGAAAGACGACTGACCGATTTTTCTGTCGCCTTTCATTATATGACAAATTTGTTTACGCTTCTCCTGAGGGAAGAAGCGTAAACGGCGGGAGTGGGAGAACTCCCCGCCCTTAATGCTGGATCAGAGGAACTGATCACAGCGTGGCTCGCTCCCGCTGCTCGAGTTAATGCTAGCAAAAATAACCCTGTTCATTTCTCATGAACAGCGCGTATTGTCATCAATACTTTTAATTGTCTGTTAGTCTGGTTTTGGATGTTGTCTTGTGTCTTGTGCTCTGAGATCTTGTGAAAATCCTGCAAATTATGTGGTCCGTTCATGAGAAATCGGCTAAAGATAGTGTTTTGTTTCATGTTGAATTTATCATTAGTGATATTACGCGTGACGCGGCAGTTGGCGAAAGAACATTTGAAGATCACTTCCAAAGCTTCCAGGCAGATTTGGCGGAAAAAGAACAAGAGTTTATCAGTATCGCCGATAGCCGCGAATACTGCCAACATGTGATTCATGGCACAAAAAAGCTTCTGCAAATTTTTTTCATCACATACAAGGATATATATCCAACGGGGCAGGAGCGCGATTTTTATGAGAGAGATCTTCGAAATGTCGCGCTCCTCAAGGATTTGTTAATAGAAGCAGAAGAAAATTTATTTCTACACGAATCAAATGCACGAAACCCAAGGCGGAGACGGTTTCATGTAAATCCTGTACTGCAAGACAGAGACTTTGGGCAACTTTTATCCCAGAGTTGAAAAAACAACGTAAGATTTTCTTTAAAATATCATGAAGTAAATAAATTAATTACTATTTAAATATTTTTTCAGCCGACATCTTTAAAAAATACACGCGGATGTCTATAAAACAATTTAATTTCCTCGCATCGAAAATCCGCTGCCTCATTGAGAAGGACGATACCGGTCGTGTGCCCATTCCGCCAGACTGCAGGTTAATGATCACGCTGAGACACCTTGCAACTGGTGATGATTATCGCACTTTACATGCTGAATATCGAGTAGGCATTAGTACGATATGCAGTATCATTCCTGAAGTTTGCAAAGCATCTGGACAATATTCGCGGATCACTATATCCAATGGCCACACAATTTAAAGCCAACTGCTGAAAAATTCGATCTGCTCCTTAATCTTCCCCACTGCTGTGGAGCTGTAGATGGAAAGCATATTCGCATCCAAAAACCTAAGGACAGCGGTGGTATTTATTACAACTACAAAGGATACCACTCAATTGTGCTAATGGGCATTTGTGATGCAGAATGCAACTTCAATTATGTTTCGATTGGCTCGTATGGATCACAAAGTGATAGCAATGTTTTTATGTGGTCACAGATTGGATTGGCACTTGAAAATGATGACGTCTTATGGCCATCTCCAGAGAATCTGCCTAATTCTGATATTGAATTTGGCTATTTCTTGGTTGGTAATTCATATATATTTACTAAAATGCTTACGAAATTTGTCTAAATTGAACTATGCACGTGAAAATGCATTTTATACATGTTGGAATTTTGGAAAGGCTAAATTAGTTAATATTCATAAATTTCAAAGAGCTAATTCACTAACATTTGTGTTGTATTTATAGGCGATGCTGCATTTCCTCTTAATCCACACTTCTTGAAGCCTTATCCTGGAAGAATGTTGCCACCTGATAAACAGCATTTCAACGACCGATTGGGAACTGCCAGAAATACAATAGAGCGAACTTTTGGCATACTTGCTAATCGTTTTAGGATCCTGAGAGGCGAAATTCAAGCTCATCCAAAAAATGCTGAGTTGATTGTGCAAGCATGTGTTACTCTGCATAATTACATTAAAAAAACGGCAGACAGTGAAACTCCATTAGCCAATCCCGATTCGCATTTGGATACCTTGGATTCAAATCCATCAATTTTGCGAGGAAGAAGCCGAAGAAATGTATTAGAAATACGAGATACTTACAATGATTATTTATATTCCCATCGTGTGTGAGGATGTGAGGAGTGCTAATTTATTAATTAAAAAACAGCATTTCATAAGATTGAATATCTATTGTCACATTCTTTTTTACTTTACATCCTTACTTATTTTTTTGTGTGTTTTCTAAGGAGTGCACTAAACTCCTGATGGAAATCATAGCACTCATTTTCTGTTAAATTTACATCAACAAACGCGTTAAACAAAGACACACAAGAACTGCGCTACATCTGCCCCGCTGCCATCCCAGAACGAAGTCCGGAATTGGCCGTGTACGACGGAAGTGATCCTTTCCTCGGTGTCGAAATGTTTACTGTCGATGTGTCTTCGCGTTGAGTGTGAATTGGCTCGAGAATGTCCAACGTTTGCCTGTCTTCCGATTGAGTGGGAAGTGTGTCCAGGAAGTTCTGTGTTGTCATGGCTTCCGTGGGAATCAGGCTCACATTACAAGGTGTCGAGGTTCTTGAATCCCAAGGGTAAATAACTGAAGGCGGGCTGAAATTCTGCAGCGTCGAATTTCCTTGTTCTTCAGAGCTTCTCCTTACAATTGGGGCCGGAATTCGCGACGTGGAAGTGCCTTGTTCTTCCGGACAACTCCTGGGAACAGGGCCCGGAATCCATGACGTCGATGTGCCAGGTTCGTCAGAGTTATTCCTTGCAATTTGGACCGGAATTCGCGACGTAGACGCGCTTGCTGTCCTTCCGCTGTTAATAACAGCGCCCACTACACTTTGCGCGATCGCCCGTCTTCCGCTGAATCTTGAATGAATAGCGTCTGTACTGCTGGAATTCTCTCCACGCAGAAATGTGCAGTGTTCATACCACTTCCACTCCGGGAGTGTTTCGCCTGCACCCGAGCCACTCGCCTTGGATTTGGATTTATTCTTCCGCTCTTGTTTGTGAAATTGTTTTTTCACATACTCAACAAGGCTGAGTATTTTCTCCCGGGGAAGATTCAGGCTTTCAGCCATGCTCTTGATGGCATTCTCCCGGAGTGTAGATTTGGCGTAGAACTTATGCCGCTTGTTCCAAACAATTTCATTGGCAGAAAGCTGCTCGAGAAATTGGGTCATCACAGAATCCTGTAATTAAAAGAAGACAAAATATAGAACCAGCATTACACTGTATTATAAATAACTTACGGGGATTCTTGCACTATACTGGGCCCTTTGCATTGTGATCAACGGTCTTGAAGCAGATAAAAGAAGTTCGCTGTCCTCAACTCGCTGCAGAATTTCACTCTCTCAAGATGCGCTGGTCGCTGATCACCACTCAGAATTGGCGGGAACGTCACAAATATCTACACTGAACAGACCTGAAGCACTCGCTTATTATTATTTATTATTTCACACTGAACAAAGATGGCAAAATTTGCTACACAAAAACGACTTCTGGTCTGCCTAAAAATTGCAACTTAAATGTACCACCGATGAGAAATTGACCGGTGCATTCTCCGGCATAACTGGCCCACACAAGTCAATGCCCGCTTATCAAATTGCAAGTGATTTGCATGTGAATGTGCACCCAGTGATGATCTCCGTCATCATTGGAGTTAATCCGATGAGTTGAATGCGATTCGAATTAGGGCAAGTGTGTGCACACATGGACAGGGGATTTTGATTTCCCCCGTCGTCACAATCATGCGTTTTTATACTGTGAAATGAGGTGGATAAATAACAAAATCCCAAGAGATCTCACCAAATGAAACCACATGAATCATTTACAGATTTTCCTAAAGTATATTTATACACAAGAACATAATCATAATATAATTTGAGGATGAATCGCATCCTTAGCATCCCATTCTGGCCGTCGTGATCACTTTGACGGGCTTCACTGCGGCTTCTATCGCTCGCGCGCGGCCATTCTCATTGTCCAGGGATGCGAAGATGATCTCGGAAGCGCCGTTTGATTATGATTTGGCCATCGAAGCATATCCAGCCGACGTCTATGAACTTCCTGGCAGTCTCAAGTGCTTGTCCGAAGCCTCAAATGTGCTTCAAGTGGTTTTTGCACGCCATAAAAGCCACACGATGAAGCAGTCGGCACGAAAATCCTCGTCCCTGGCCCAAAATCTATCCAAGAATGTAGTTTAAGAACACACGCCGATGTTCTAGATGTCTGTCCGCTGTTGGATGGGCATTTTGCTTCGTCGCAGGAGATCCTCGATGGTCAATCTGCCGTGAAAATACCTCGAGAAGCACTGAAAACGCAAGGAAGACACGTCCAATTAGTCACTTTGCTCACAAATTTAGAATAAACCTCGATATTCCATCATACAAAGGTCTCAGAACATTAGTTCTTGCATTTGATGATGACTTACCTGCTCAATGTGCGCACAAGTAGCGGATTTTCGCGAGTTTTCACTGTTGTTTACATTTTTTCAAACACGCGCCATGGCTGACATGCCGAAAATTTACCGACGGAGCGCGCGCCCCTACCGGTTCAACGCAAAGACCAAGCCAAAAACACTCATGCGACTCCTCGCGGCTGTGTCCAAAAGGTCTAACTAGAAATTTGGGAAAAGGCAACAAGGTATTCCGGAATACCAATTCCCCCGTGCTTTTCAGGCTCTGAAAAGAGAGAGTCTGTACAACTTAATCATGTGGGACTTTGCAGCGCCACGGAACACAAATGACCCATACTCTAATACCGACCGAATCGTAGTCACATACAAGGTTTTCATGATTGTAGGGTGAGCTCCCCATTTGAGGCCACAAATTGCGCGCAAGAAATTTACTCTTTTTTTGCATGTCTCTATTACTTTACGCACCTGTGGGCCCCAGGTACCCTTAGCATCAAATATTACGCCTAAATATTTAAACGTGCTACTTTGTGGAATGTATTCTTCATTGCAGGTGATAGATATCATTGGCGGCCTATGTTTGCGCGTAAACAAAACAAACGCAGACTTCTGAATGGACAAACACAATCCATTGACGAGCAATTCCGTCTGTATTGAGGAGCAAGCCAATGATAGGGCACTCTCAATGACTTGGGGGTCCTTATGTGCTATGCCAACTACTATATCATCCGCGTATTGATAAATAAAGCACTCCCCCGGAACCACTTTCTCAATCTCCCTCACATACAGATTATAGCATAGTGGTGATAAGACTGATCCCTGTGGCAGCCCCACATATCCTGTTCTGGACGTCACCCTGTTTTTACCAGAATAAAACTCAAGCATTCTTTCGCCCATTAGGCTGCTGAGTAAAATACATATTTTAGCAGGCAAACCCCCCATAAATAGTTTCCGACACAGCAGATCTATCACAACACCATCATATGCTGATGCGACGTCAAGAAATATGCAACCCAGCATTTTTTTATCCAGCCAGGCCTCTTGGATTCTGCAATGCAATCCCACCAGGCAATTGGCGGTTCCCATTCCCTTCCGGAACCCCATCTGAGATGAGGGGATGAGCCTGTTCACACTCACCCAGCTTTCAAGTCTTTGCAGAATCATTTTTTCGAATACTTTCCTCACTGTCGACAGGATACAGATTGGTCTGTAGTGTCCAGCTTCGGAGCCACTTTTACCCGGCTTGGGCACCGCAATTACTCTTGACACGCACCAAGACTTAGGGACCTCACCATACTCGACAATGTCATTAAATATACTCAGCAGGAGATGCAAACCCATTTCAGGCAGGTTTCTGAGAAGACTAACCCGAATAAGATCACTTCCGGCGGCTTTATTCTTGGTTACTCGCAAGGCAGCCCATAATTCGTGCAATGAGAACTCTGGCCAAGGAAGCTCCCGTTCCCTGGGCATATGTTCGTTGGGAAGCTCAAAAGGTTTATTTACATACGGCGGAGCCAGCTTATCCGCAAAACGTTCCATTTCAGGGCCGTCCAGATCTCCCTTGTTACCCCTGGTTTGCCCGCGGAAAGCTCTAGCGACACTCCAAAGCTCATTCAAACTTGTTGTGTTAGAAAACCCCTCGCATCTGTTCCTCCAGTTTTCAATCCTCTTCCCACGAAAGGTTCGCTTGGCCAAAGCATCCAGCCGTCTGTACTCAATGAAATCTTCCCTCAATCCCGAGTTACGAAAGTCTCTAAACCCTCTAGCTCTCTTACTCCACACCTCTACACATTCAGCATCAAACCACATCCTATCTCTGGGTACTGCAGCTCGCCTAGCTCCACTGAAGACTCTCTCCTTCTGGGCCCTCTGAGCAGAGTTCCTAAGCAACATATTGAACTTATTGAGCCTTTCCTCCGGAGAAGGATCATCAATCGCCCCAACACCCACTGATACACTGTTCTTGAATTCGCGCCAATTCATGCGAGCTTCGCGAAATAAGCACAATTCCTCATCCTGAAGAGAGGCGACTGGTTGCAGATTTGGACTGGTCCATACCGCAATGATCGGAATGTGGTCGCTTCCAAGAGTCTCTTCGTGTAGCAGCCACGTCCAGTCCAGTGCCATGTCCCGAGTTACCAATGAAATGTCTATCGCGCTATCTGCATTAGGTAAGCAATCCGTGTAACTCTCCCATCATTAAGAACCACCAAGTCCATATCATCGCACCAATTGCCCATTGTCATACCTCTTCCATTCAATTCTTGCGACCCCCACAAAGGATTGTGCGCATTAAAGTCGCCCCCCACGAAGCATTTTTCATCATAGAACTCCCAGATTCTGTTTAAATCAGCGTAGCGTATCGGGGATGTGTTAGGAATATAAATAGACCAGAACACAAAGCTATTATTGTTGACAGTGATCTTGACTCCTACCATCTCTGCCGATGTAGAGTCAACATCCAACAGGTCCATTCGCGTGGCTCCAAATCCACTCCTGACTCCAATTAACACGCCTCCACCTCTATCAGTTCTGTCGTTTCTAAAAAGATTATACCCTGGTATCCTTAGATGACATCTTGGCGTCATTTTAGTCTCCTGTAACAACAATACATCAACTCCCCGACGATCACACAGTACAATAATGTCCTGGAGCTTAGAACGGACACCGTTGACATTCCATTGCAGCACCCTTAATGAATTATGATTTATTGAATCCATGTTTAGTGTCAAAAGAAGA